AGTACAAAAATTCACTGAAGAGAAGAACTCATGAAAGAGCAGAATTGTTCAGCTGTTTTGGTCATGTCTGATTCTTTGTGACTCCAAACAAAAAAGGGGAAAAAAGTGAATTAAAATGAGGGTAATAAAATTTTCACTAACCTATCTCAAAAAAAAAAAAAAAAAAAGAAAAAGGAAAGAAAGAAAGAATATGTCAGTTTGGTCAATCTGCTTTTTCCCTTTCTTTTTTTTGTATTCCTTCTTACAAAATTTTCTTACTTAGCTTTCTTACAAAGCACGGGTAAGGATAGCAGAATATATTTGGAAATATAATGGAATAGGATCTTTGTTTTTCAGGGACAGCTGGGCCTAAGGACTTGGTTGGCCTGGAAGGCTAGAGTCTGTGTTGCTCTTGAGCAGATTGTTGGTTTTTTTTAAATCTTAACATTCATTGTTTCATTTTGAATTCCAAATTCTCTCCTTCCCGTGCTCCCCTCCCCCTTTGAGAAGGGTAATACTTATTATACATGTGAAGTTGTACAAAACATATTTCCATATTAGCTATGTTGCCCCTCCAAAAAAAGGCAAGAAAAATAAATTTTCCATTTTTTTCCCAAATACATTTGGAAAAAATGGAAAAAAAAGATGAAAAAAAAATGTCCATAAAAAGTTGTCAGGATAATATCTCACATTTTCGGTTTCTACTGTCTTTACTATGCTTCTGTTCATACCAATCTGCCCCTGGTTCTCTGAACTGTTTATAATCACTGCTCCTCAAGGTGAAGGATTAGTCTACCACATTCATGGCCCACATTTTCTTTAGCCAGTTTCCAAATGATTAGCACTCACCTTATTCCCAATTCCTTCCTACTATATAAAGTGCTGTTATGAATATTCTGGTACATGGGATCTTTCTGCCTTTGACCTCCCTAAGGGATGTGCCTAGCAGTGGGCTCTCGAGATCAAATGGCATGGATATCCAATGCAAAGCTAAGCAAGGAAAACCAGAAGAACAATGTATATTACGACATTATTGTAAAGACAAATAACCTAGAAAGACTTTAGAATTCTAATCATAAAGAAACATGCAGTCCACCTCCTGAAAGAGATGGATGGACTCAGACCGCAAACTGAAAGGCATTTTTTGGGACACGTCCAATGCGGGAATTTGTTTCGACTATTCTATTTGTTACAACTACACGTTTGTTTGTACAGAGGCTTTGTTTTTCTTTCTTTCTAAATGAGGGGCAGGAATGGAGTGAGACAAGTTAGATTTTCATTGATTGAAAAATAAGCAATTTAATTTTTTTTTTTAAATCGTAGAGATGTCTGTCACCTTTTTAGCACAACTGCAAATTGCTTTCCAGAATGGTTGGGGGGGAAAAAACCTAGTAATCAGGGACTTCACAAAGCCAAAGACCTCTAGCAGTTTTTCTGTCATCTTAGCCCCTTTTTCCTTTCATATTCCTTCCAAATTGTTGTACTGACAGAAACTCAGTTCCTTGACAAGACACTGAATCCCTGGTCAGTGTCTCCAGTTCAGGGCACCCCTTCTCTCACGTGCCACCAGGCAATGGGCCAGAAAGAGAAGCAGACAAACTCCTTGATTATTCCTCACTACAACCTCAAGACTCTTCTCCTGCAACCAGTGCTCCATGACCTCTTCTCCTTTGAGGTTCATTCTACACCTTCCTATGAGGCAGCACAGCGCTGGGTAAAGACTGCTGGGCTTGGCTTCTAAGGACCTGGGTGCTAATTGAAGCTCTGGCTCTTATTATTAACTGTAGGCAAGTCACTGGAGCCTCATAAGCCTCATGAGGGACTTGTAATAGACGGCCTCTAAAGACCCTTCCAACTGTAAATCAGATTATCTGACCCTATCCATAGCATCACTACAATTATCTACTGTCCCTTGATGATTCCCTCGTTTCTCAAGGACAGGAGCACCTGGTTCATATAGTCCCTCCACCCCAATATTTGCCCTCTTATTTGAAGAATTAAATGTTTGATGTTCCCTCAAACACCCAACCCTCCCAGTTCAATCCTCTAAAGTCTTATGCTGCTGAATGAATGCTTCTGGACAAAGTCAAGCCAACAAGCATTTATTACACACCTATAACGCGCCAGGCACTGTTCTAAGTATACAAAGCTCCCTGGCCTCAGGGAGCTCCCAATCTAATAATGGGAAGACAATATGCAAATATCCACGTATATGTGTATATACACACACACACAAACATATAAATGCTAAGTTGGAGAGGAACTCAAAAGGAAGACACTAACACTAGAGAGGACCCAGAAAAGCTTCCTGCAGAAGGTAAGATTTTACAAAGCCAGAAGACAAAGAGAAAACATTTCAGGAATGGGGAACATCCAGTACACATGTACAGAATTGGGAGATGGACTGTCTTGAGGGAGGACTAGAAGGAAGCCAGAGTGATGGGGCTGTTGGGTACATGGAAGAGAGGAAGGTGTAAGACAGAAAGGTAGGAAGGGGTCACATAATGAATTTAAAAGCCAAACAGGATTTTACATTTGATCCTGGAGGCAAAAGGAAGCAAGTGGAGCTTACTGAATAGGGGAATCATTTGGTCAGACCTACACTTTAGGAAGATCACTTCAATAGCAAAGCAGAAGAGGGACTGGAGTGAGGGGAGACTTAAGGCCAAGCAGAAGGCTGTTGCAACAGTCTCAATGTGAGGAGGTGAGGGCCTGTACCAGGGTAGCTGCAGTGTCAGAGAGTTGGATGTATATATGAGAGGTTAAGTTAGAATCTACAGGGCTGGGCAAATGACTGGATATTGGGGGTGGGGGGAGGGGTTAGAAAGAGTAATAAGTTACGGAAAGTTATCCTCTGTGGGAAATTGTGTTTACTATCATTTTTTCTTTCTACAACCATAGCTGAGTCTTATTACTCTACCCACCTACTGTCTTCAACATTTTCCCCTGCTCTCAAATCTCCTCTTTGCCCTACCACCCCAAATGCCATGGGGCTTCTCTTGTGGCCCCAAAGATAGCTCAAACTCCTGAAATAACTAGGCCCTTCCCTGTGATCAATGCCTATCACAATGTATTGCACATAATAGGCCGCTTTAAAGAGTCTGTCCGGGAACATATGCCTAGAATAGGAACCTGGAGACCTGGTTTCTAATCCTCACTTTGCCACTGAATAATTTGCATCATGAACTTAGACAAAACTGGGCCTTTGGTTTCTCATCAAATAATGAGAATAATAACATGCTACCTACTTCATATATTATGCAAATGAAATCACAGGTCCAGTAACCAACATGCAGCAGATTATTACTGGGAGACCCTACTCCTCTCCGACCCAAAGACTACCTCTTAGTTCCCAATCGGTAGATTCCAGACCACCCTACAAACTCCCTCCTATTCTCTTTTCTCTTTCAGGAGGAGCCCAAATGCCTCCTTACTCCCCTTCATTTTAACACTCCATCCAAGCTCAGTTGGCCCCTTCCAGAATAAGCCCAGACTGGGTCTGCTTGGGGTACTCAACCCTTCCCATCTCAGTCAGCTGCCTTTCCGCTCTGGAGGTCTGCAGCGGGGGAGCCTTTCTTTATAGAGGGCTGGGATCTGGACTTTCTACAAAACTCCATTTTTCTGTCTTGCAGCTTTGCTTGGACTCCCTTTGACTCCCCTCCCCTTTTCAATTCCCTTTTTCAGACTGTCTCTCACCACCCCCACCCCCCTTATATTGTAAGCTCCAAGAGGGCAAGGGCTATCTTTTTCTTATTCGTATTCCTAACTTAGGCCAGTTCAGGTTCTTTTGCGTTTTTCAGTCTCAAGAGACTCTCCGTGACCCCATGTGGGTTTTCTTGGCAGAAATACCAGAGTGGTTTTGCCATTTCCTTCTCCAGCTCATTTTACAGATGAGGAAACTAAGGCAAACAGGATTAAGTGACTTGCCCAGGGTGACATGGCAAATAAGTGTCTGAAGCTGGATTTGAAAGGCTTTCTGAATCCAAGCTGGGCACTCTATCCACTGTGCAACCTAGACCAGGTGTGGGGAACCTGTGGCCTCAAGGCCACAGGTGGCCTTCTAGGTTCTTGGGTATGGGGTCCTTGGGTTCAGCCTTTTGACTAAGTCCAAGTTTGTTTTATTTTTTCCTTTAGGCAATTGGGGTTAAGTGATTTGCCCAGGGTCTCACAGCTAGTAGTGTCAAGTTTTTGGTCTGAGGCCGGATTTGAACTCAGGTTCTCCTGACTTCAGGGCCGGTGCTCTATCCACTGCGCCACCTAGTTACCCCTGAGTCCAAGTTTTACAAAACAAAGCCTTTTATTAAAGGGATTTGTTTTGTAAAGTTTGGATTCAGTCAAAGGGTCACACTTGAGGATCTAGAGGGGCACATGTGGCCTCCAGGCCCCAGGTACCCCACCTCTAAACTAGAGGCTTTCTAAATTTTTAGTGAATTACCTTTCCAACCTCCAAAAGCTCCTATCCACGAAATCGGTGATTGGGGTTTAAAAGTGATTTCAGGGACAATAGTGACCAGAAGGGGAAAGGTGCCCCTCCCCCTCCCTTTTTCCAAGTCCCAAGTTCTCCAAAACTTATTGCCATGGGGGACAAATGAGTCCTATCAGCGTGAACTTGAACCCAGGGCTCTCAGGCTCATTGTGTAGTCCTCAGTTCACAAGGCACACGTGGCTGCCTCATCCCTGAGGTTAATGCCCCCTTCAATACCCCCTCCTTTCTTCCCTCAAATTACATGGCTGCTCTGCACCAGCACACATTAAGCACCAACACTTATGCTGTACCAGACCTGGAGCTGAGAGCACAAAGACAAAAGGGAGCCTGCCCTCGATGAGTTTACAATCTAGAGCGAGAGGTCACGTGGGAGGAAGGGAGCCATTATCTTCAGAATGAGCAGCAGGGCCCCCGCCTCCGCCCAGGCCCCGCCCCCTGGCCCCGCCTCTTCTGGGGCCCCTCCCCCACGACGCGACAAGACGCGCCTCCCCTCCTCCCTCCTCCTCCTCTGCCGCCGCCGCCGGCCGCCCCTCACCGTTTCTGTGCCTCCAGCCCCCACAGGCGGATCTGCCGGTCGTACTGAGCCGCCTCCTCCTCGCTGATGGTGCCCACTTCCTCCTTCTCCACCATGGTGCCGCCGGGCTCCGCTCTTCACGCTGCCTCCCTCTTTCTCCTCAGGCCGTCTAACCGGCCAGCTCCTTCCCCGCGCGCCGGCTCGCGACCTAACCGCCAATCGCCAACCTCTTCGGACCCCTCCCCCCAGCCGCGCGCTCTGGGCGACGTGTGCGCAGGCGCCAGCTTCTGCGCCTGCGCAGAACCGCGCCCCTCCCCTTGGCCGGCAAGCACGTGCGTGCCAGTAGCACGTGACCCGCCCCGGGCGCTCACATTCCTCCCTTTTCCCCGTGACACCGCCTTCCTCCCTTTCCACTTCTTTTTACAACCGGGCCCCTCCCCACTTTTCTGACTTTCTTATCCGATTAATTATTCTCCTCTTCACGCTATGACTCGGCCGAGCCACGCTGGCTTCCTTAGGGCTGTTGTACACACGGCACTTCCACCTCATCTCCCTCCTCTGTGCCTTTGCACTGGCGGCCCGCCGTGCCTGCAGCGCCCTCGATGGTCACCCCAATTGCTTGGGAGCCCTGCTTTCATCCATGACTCAGCTCAAGCGCTCTGTCCCGAAAGTCATAGACTTAGATCATAGATTTGGACCTGGGAGTATCCTTAGAGGCCCCTGAATCCAACCTCCTTCCCTTTTCACAGACGCAGCTACTGAGGCACAGAGTGCCTTGGGCAGGGTCACACAACTATAGAGTCCTGGTCTTCTTGACTCCAAGTGCAAGGCTGTAGAAATGACACCGGCTTCCCTAGTGTCACTGCCCTTTGACCCAGCGATACTGCTACCAAGGATGTATACCCCCAAAGAGATCAAATCAAGCCAGCGTTTATTAGGCACTTATTGTATGCCAGGCGCTGTACTAAGGGCTGGGGATACACAGACCAAACCAAAAGTCTCTTGAGGAGGAGCTTAGGAAGACAGAGGAAAAGGACCTATGTGCACAAAAATATCATTGCAAGAATTTTCAATGTCCTTGCTAGCTTTCTGTTGTTGATTCGTGTCTGACACTCTGTGACCCCATTTGGGGTTTTCTTGACAAAGATACTAGACTGGTTTGCCATTTCCTTCACCAGCTCATTTTACAGTTTAGAAAACTGAGGCATATGGGGTTAAGGGACTTGCCCAAGGTCACACAGCTAATCAGCTAGTAAGTGTCTCAGGCCATATTTGAACTCAGATATTCCTGACACCAGGCTTGGAGCTCTATCCCCTGTGCCACCTAGCTGCCCCAACAGCCCTTTACTCACAATTTATTCTATAGAATCATAGATTTAGAGCTGGAAGGGACCTTTGAGGTCATGGAACTCAACCCCATTTTACAAATGAGGAAACTGAGGCATAGAGAGGTAAATGACTTGCCCAAAATCATATGGATAGTAAATAGCAGAATCAGGATTTGAAACTAGGTTTCAATAAACACGTAGTAAGTGCCTTTTAAGCACAAGGCATAGGGATACAACATCTATTATTCTCCGTAATTAGAAGGAGACACGCATGCGTAAATATCTGTATAAGAGCAGAGAAGGGCTGATTAACTGGGTGTAATCACCACACCCCACTTAAAGTAAGTGACAAAATGCCCTGGTACCTTAACCACGTGAAATCAATCCATCTTATTCATAGGTTTGAGTTTCAATCTATGTCAGTCATAGACTTTAAGTGGGAAAAATCCTCAGAAGTGCAATGACATTGCCATAGAATCATGTCCAGAAAGGCTGAGGAAATTTCATTGTCTATGAAATATCCATGGAGTGGAACCCTGGAATCATTCCAGTAACTGGCAACCCTGAGAGGCTGAGGTAATCTCCTGCCCCCCAACCTCACCTCTTCATCTTCAAAGAAATCCAAAGAAGGTTGGACTTCCCATCTTCCAAGCAATGCCTTCCTTCCTGGCATCCTGGAACCAGCTGGCAGCAGTGTCTGTGCTGGGACCCGAGGTGATTCACAGCTCCACAGGGAACGCAGCAGAAAAGCTACTCTGGGCCCAAGAGGCCTTGCCTGAGGGACTCACAAGTGGGGAAAAAAAAAATTTCTACCAACTGAGAGCTGAGTTACCCTCTTGCCACCTGCGATCCCTAAGCTTGAGCCCGCTTTCCCGAGGGCTCTCTATATATTTGTGGGTGAGTGTGTCCTGGGAAGATATTTTATACCCGCTGTTCTGACTGTACCATCTTAGTCAATTCTCCTTTCTAAGAATTGCTTAAATCTGGCTCACAGCTGATAGTCCTGTTGTGTACATAGGAAAGGGAGCTAGCTTAATCAATTAACATTTAGTACGGCTTGTACTACTTGTCAGACACTGTACTAAGGCTGGGAATATGAAAAGAGGCAAAAAACCAGTCCCTGCCTTTAAGGAGCTCACAACCTGATGCATACCAGTAGGGGCTCATGGGCTGGAGCGCTAGAAAAGATACCACCCAACCCTTCAGGGGCACACCTAGAGCCATGAAGGGATGCACTGACTGTGTCCGAAAAAGGCTATCTAATCTTCCACTGAGTCCATCAACCCTTGGTCAAGAGGTGGGTAGCACATTTCCTCTTCCTGAAGTACAGGTCTGACCACGTCACTCCCCTGTGCAGTAAATCCTCTTGCCTGCAGGAGCAAATATAAGATCCTCTGATTTTTGGTTTAGCTGCTACTAAGGGAAGGAGAGGAGGTACCTAGGAGGACCGTTGGGATCACTCTCTCGTTTCTTCTGACTTTGTCTTAAGACGCTCTTCTAGTGACTAAAAGAGTTGTCTAGGATTTTTTTTTTTTGTGCCAAATACATTCTAGAACATTTGCTGAGGATGAAAAAAACAAAAACAAAATTAAGGGGCAGCTAGGTGGTACAGTGGATAGAGTACCAGCTCTGGAGTCAGGAAGACTTGAGTTCAAATCCAGCTTCAGACACTTACTAGCTGTGTGACCCTGGGCAAGTCACTTAACCCTGTTTGCCTCCAAAAAAAAAAAAAGAATTGGTAATAATTGGTATCTCTACTTCCTTTCCTTTCCCATCCTTAACTTTTTCCTCTCTGACTGTATCATTCAACTACAACTGTTCACTTCAAAGTTGCCAATAATATCTTAACGGTCAAAACCAAGGCTTTACTTTGTTTTTTTCAGTGCTCATCCTTCACCTCTCTGTGACCTTCCACTTCCTTGATTATCTCATTTTCCTAGATACTAGCTTCTCTCTAGGTTTCACCTTCGGTTTTCCTCTCCTTGGGTCCTTCCCTAACACTGAAGTCACCGAAGGCTCTGATGTGGGCCCTTTTATCTTCTCCCATCATACGATTCACTTGGTGATTTCTTCAGTTCCCATGGATTCAATTGTCATTTATTTCTCTGCTGATGATTCTGTGTCCAGCCCTAAACTCTCTCCTGACTTCCAGTCTCATGTCTCCAGCTGCCATCTCAAATTGGATGTCCTACATAGACTTCTTAAACTGAACACGTTTAAAACTGAACCCATTCACATGGAAATCTATCTTACCCTATAGGAAAATAAGAGGGGAAGGGGACAAGAGAACAGGAGGTTGATAGAGGAGAGGGCAGACTGGGGGAGGGGTAACCAAAAGCAAACACTTCTGAGGGGGGACAGGGTCAAAAGAGAGAATAGAATAAATGGGGGGGTGGGATAGGATGAAGGAAAATATACTTAGTTTTTCACAACAGGACTGCTATGGAAGTATTTCACATGACTACACATCTATAACCTGTATTGAGATGCTTGCCTTTTCAATGAGGGTGGGTGGGGAGGGAGGAAGGGAGAAAATTTGTAACCCAAAGTTTTAAAAACACATGTTAAAATTAAAAAAAAAAACTGAACCCATTCTCTCCTCAGCTCCCACCTACTCCCAAAGCTTCCTTTCCTCCTATCCTCTCTGTTACTGTCAGGGCAACCACCGTGGTCTCAGTCACCTAGGCTTGAAGCCTAGGTGTCACCTTTGACTCTACACCCTCTCTCCAACCCTGTCCTATCTCTCATAGTCAATCAGTTGCCAAGTTCACTTGATTCTACCTTCACAACATCTTTCCCGTAGTCCTCCTTCTCTCCTCTGACACTGCCACTATCCTGGTACAGGACCCCATGGCCTCCTGCTTGGACAACCAGGCTGTTGGCTGGTCTCCCAACCTCATCTCTCCCTACTCGATTCCACCCTCCACTTAACTGTGAAAGTGATCGTCCCAAAGCTCATCTCTGACCATATTTCTCCCCTATTTAATGAACTCCATTGGCTCCATATTGCTTCAGGATTAAATATAAATCCCCTGTTTTGTATTCAAAGTCCACTGACATTGCCTCCTTGCTGTTCCTTGAGTTAAAACTCTATCTCCTAACTCAGAGCATTTTCGTTGACTAGCCGCCATGCCTGGAATACTCTCCCTCCTCATCTGTCTCCTGGCCTTTCTGTCTTCCATTAAGTCTCGATGGGAAATTCGACTTTCTACAAAAATGTTTCTAGATCCCCCTTAATATTATCCCCTTCTCTCTGTTGACTATCGTCAGTTTAGCCTGTATTTGTCTTGCTTGTACATAGTTGCTTATGTGTCTGAATCCCCTATTACATTATGAGCTCTTGAGAGGAGGGGCGTTTTTTGTTTATATCTCCTCTCTAAGTACAGGGCTTGCCACTGTCAACAGCAAATCACAACTTCACTAAACTCTCATGAAAACTGGGTTTACTGAGAGAGAGAGACGAACTCCACACGTGGAGCCCAAAGAATGCACAAGCCATGCAGAAGTTGGCATGTTTCTGACAATACAACAAAAAAAGAAGGAGAAAACATGAGACTTCTTCCCAAGGGAAGGAGCAAGGCCGGGCCAAAAGGCTTTTCCCTTGGGAACCACTAGACCATAAAGATAGGTTGGTCTCCTTAGCTATAAGGGCCTACTGTAGACCATCACTTGTCTTGACTCCCAAGGACATACAGTTTGGGATACAAACAAGTTATGTCAGCTGGGAGAGAGCACGTGCCATGCTTATTCCTTGACATATTCAGGGTCTCCTACATGCCCTGGGTCCAGTGTTTCTGGAAAATATGACAACTCAAAAAGACAAGTTCAAGGGACCCCTTAACAGCACATAGTAGGTACAGTCTCTTCTGCTATAACATAAAAATCATCAGTGTTCATCAT